GAAGAAACAACCTGAAACACTGCATACAAATAAATGTCATTCCAGCACTACCTGAAGTTGATTTTTAGGTGTCATTTGCCTGCTTGAAAAGGCCATTTTCTTTCAACAGAAAGTTTCTCATGCCCAATCAGGAGAGCTAAGAGAGGTGTAATTGGATATGAAGATGTTTCAGAGAAGTTTAATGTATTTAGGAGAACACTTTATTGGAAAACATTACCAAGGTGCAGTATAAGCACTTGAGGACAATATTTTCAAGAGGAACAACTTAACACTTGTTTTTCAGGTGAGTCCTTTTTTCCCCCAAAGAAATTAAAAATTGTCTTTAGAGATATTCCTCATCAAGATAAATTCAGGAAGATTGAAAATCTGTATGTAATTACAGACACACTGTTAGTTATTTCTGCTCAAAGAACTCTTAATTTTGTAAGCTTCTTGTGTTTAGTAAGACATGCTGCAAGTGCATCAATCTCTCAGTCCTAATAAAAGGCACATGGTTGTATCATCAAAATGACTGATAGATTTATATATATAAAAAGCTTCCTAGAAATGTGATATCCATGTCAAACTTGAAGACTTTCAACAGATTATAACTTCCCAGTCTTTGTGTTGAACTTAAAGAAGGCATAACTGAGATTAAACAAAGCCAAAGTCAAGACCAGTGGAGGTAAATGTGTATCTGTGTTTGTGTGTATTATGAGAAAAGGTTTTATGAAACACAAAGGATTAATTTGACTGACTTTGAGCAACACCATATAAAATCCTAGGCTTATATATAAAACATTTCCATTTTTTGACTTCTGATGCCTTCATTTATGTCTTCTTGACACATATCACAGCTAAAAATGGAGTTTGGGTGGCTAGCAACAAGATGGATTGTCTGAGCTGAAAGCAACTGATGATGGTAGTTTGATGGTAGATAGACTTTGTGCCAGGCACTGTGCATTCATGTGGCTGCTCTGAAGCTGCGAGTCTCTTTGAAAGAAAAGAGATCATTTAAAGGATGGCAGGTGATGACTGTCAGTTGAGAGAGTGGATAATAGTCCTTGGAAATGAAAATAAAAAATGTAAACAACATCTGATACTTTACCGAGCACATAAATTCATTTCTGGAGACAAATATGTCTGTCAATTGATCAGATTCTTCCCCTTCTCACTCTTTTAAACTTTGATTTCCAGCTCAGATTTACTAGACACTTCTAAAATGTATTCCTCTGATGCTATTTTTGTTAGTTCCTTTATAGACTAGAACTGTAATTTTAATAGGTTCCAAAAATGAATCCTTTTATTTTTAGTACACAGAACACTGTGTACTAAATGCAATGCAATTGAAGTTGCACAAAATACATGAACTTTAATACTTCTACTCTGCATTTAGGAATAGAAGGTGCTAGTTCACATTTTTCTATAAAAACTGGTATGTAAAACTTTTCTTTAAGTAAATGCTTGATTGTTTTCCCTTCTTGTGTTCCACATAATGGGAATGAGAATTCAGAAATTATTTGTGAAAACAGTAATATTTATCACACAATGGATATTTTGAATCATAACCCTTATAGAAAAAGTGCAGGTTTCAGCTAAAATGAAACAGAAATCTGCACAATGATGTTAGGGAAATTACAGTAATAATAGAAAACTCTAAATAAAACAACTGTTTATTTTTTAAATCATACAATAAGTGATAGAAATATTTTAAAGTGTGGTAAGTAGGTACAGAAATACTTCTGCTTTTTTGGATGATATAATTTGGACAAGATCTCTTCCCAAATTCAGTACTTTGGAAAAAAATTGGCAATTGAAAGTGCCATAATTAAATTATCCTTTATGCATTATCCATGCTAATAAGAATTCATAATAATTAGAAAGTAAGCAAGATCTGATTAAATTAGTATTAGAGCAATTCCTTAATATTGGTGTAGTTTACTTGGGTTGTTGATTAATTATGACATTAATACAAAATACTATGGAGTAGATGTCATCATGCACATCTATATTTGTCAGCCAAGAGCATTATAAGCATTACTATTCTGCAGTTACAAAAGTATTACAGTTCTTCAGTTAGTATCTACTTCAGATAATTCTAATTTTAAGTGTCCAAAATGTTTTTCTGAAACTATGTATATTAATGGCCTTACATCTTATAAAATGCTTTCAAATACACAAAGAAGGTGAACAAGTGTCCAAGAGAGACATCAGATTTTTTTCTACAGTGTAGAGACTGTAGTGCAGGTAATAAACAGCTTGGACTACATAATGGAAGTTGCAAAAATTCAAAGAAGCCCAAACTTGCTGATCTCACTACAACGTTACCTGGTAGTTTCTAAATGAAAAAAAAAATATTTTAAAAAAAAAAAATCTATGATAATGTGGCTTCTGCATTAATTCAGTTCCTTCTTGCTACAAAAAAAAAATGTTTTTTTGTACAAATCCTACTGTTTCAGAGTGATGCCTTAAATACAAACTGCTTGGCTGAGGATCTCAGAAAAACTGGAGTGATACATCACAGCAAATATTAATGATCAAGATTTTCCAATTAATAAGTCACAGCTACTTGTCAAGCAGTTAATCCAAATTAAGTAAAACCATGAATTTGTAAATAGAAGGAGCAAAGCAAGTAGTTTTCTAAGAAAAAATGAAGGTCACACTTCCAGAACATTTACTTAAAATGCAGATACATCACCACAGAGAGACAATTCTATTTCACCAGTTTAATCAGATTACCTTAGTGAACCAGTTAACTGAAGCCATAGTTTGATTTTGAAGTTGAGAGAAGGTTTACATGACTCCAAGTGTTTCATCAAAAGAGATAGTAACTACTCATCTCTTTGGTTTTCCTGAACTAGTCTGTGTGTCCTTATCAGGTACAGCAGTGCTGACAGATGGAAATACCTTTGACAGAGGGAAAAAAAAATGTATTTGGGAAATATACTTGGGAAATATACTATGACTTAATTGCAATAAAGTAAAAGAATTTTCTTTGTAAGAATACCTGAATGCTTCTAAGCCCTTTTGCATAGATCTGAGCTGAAACTTTTCATGATTTTATACATACCAAAATAACAACATATACATAACCAAAATAACGTTATGTAACCAAAATAACGTTATGTAGAATTCAGTAGATAATAATGATCTAACTCTAAATCTTGCTCTGGGCAAGAAAGTATGTATCAAATAGGGAACTAAGAATTTATTTTTAGCTACAATGATGTTTTTACAGTCTAATAATCTAAAACAGTACAGAAAAGTGTAATTAATAATAGTTAAAATGTCTTTACAAACAACATCTATCCCACCCATTTCTCAGTTGCAATGTTCACCTTTCTGATGTCCTGCTGAGTCCTATGGTCACAAGATGAGCTTTTCTCAGCTGCCACAGGGCTGGTAGTGATAATAAGTCATCAGCAACCTGAGGATTTTGGAGGAAGGAACAAAATGTTTGTGGTGGAATTTCTTCCCTTTCTGTCTCAGGTTTGTTTGTTTGTGAAAACTTTCCCAGAATATTTTCCTTTCCATTGATCCCAAATTATTTCTGACAGAAAGAGCTGCTGTTTTCCAAGCATTGATTCCCTAGGCCTGTGGGACTATTGCTGCACACGATACTTTTAAGGTACCACATCTGGAGCGATAGCACTGCACAGTTGTAACAAGCTAAACTCAGCTGAGGCTGTGCCAGCCTGGATGAGACCTGAGACCTGTGGCTTTCTACCAGGAATAGCAGAAAATCATATTCACTTGGCTAGACCTATCACCACAGTGAACAGAAATTTAACTCTGACTTTCATCTGATGGGATCTGGCTCAGCTCATGCATTCCATGAGGTAAAATGGAAAGGAAACAGAACTGTACTTGTGTTTCCTGAATATAAAACAAATGATTAGATTATCAAAAGTTCAAAAGACAAATGTCAGCTTTCTTCTTTTAAACTTTCAGTATAATCAACATTGATAAGAAAAAGCACTGTTTCAGTGGTTGGAATAAAATTGAAAGTATTGAAACACAGTGATAAAACCCTATTTCTGTCTTGCTGGATGGGAGACTTGAAATTGCATAAGTTGGATAATGTGTTCACAGGTAGAATTGGGAGAATGGAGGCAGTAAAACCAAGCCAACTTCCCCAAATTCATAATACATTTTATATTTATTAATCTGGAGTTTTTTCCCAAATAGAGCTCTTGCAGTTTTTTCATTGTTATGTAAATGAGTGAAAGCTCCTTTTGAGACTGGCATCTTTCAAATGTGGAATTAGAAATGTTCCTTATTAACTTGCAGTATATAATTGATGTCACTGTATGTTTTTGTTGTTATTTCTTTGAATGAAACAATTTTAATAACTGTATTTTTCCATGTAGCAGTTTTCCTCATAGTTGCTTACTTTACTCTTTAATGCTTCTTTGTTTCCAACTCTTCTTTGAGATAAATGAAAATGGGATGAGAGTTATAAAAAAATACGTTTGAGGTGAATAGCTACATCTTTCATAAATCTGTTTTTTAATTACAAATGAGCTCAACATAGTAATGCATTTTACTTTAATTACGATTTTGATGACCTTCTTAGAGCTGAAAGCCATTTCTCTTTATTTAATGACATGCATGTGTGTGTTTCAGGAGTTCTGTTGCTAAGTGATTTCCAGGGAAGCTAGTGAAGCAAATTAATGAAGTGGCAGATAATTTTTTGTAGTGTTTTTATGGAATGGCATTACTGGACCACGAAGAGACCTGTCTCACGTTTGCAAAATCTTCAGAGTTTGAAGGTTTGAGAGAGCATATCAAGCTCAAATTCGAAAAGAACTCCCCCATCTCTTTATTTTACCACATCCAGCTTGTGTGTTTGACCATATAGTACATGAAGCTAGTGATAGATAAGTGAAATTAATTTTTTTCCCGTTACTTTAAAAGGCCCAAAGTATATTTGAATCTTGTATATCTCTGTTTCTTCTCTTTCTCTTTCTCTTGGATGATCACTCTTTTGAAATAAGCATCACCATTTCTCTTTCCTGCAGCTTTGTTTCTGAAAGAAGTTAAAGTGCACTGCATCTGACATACATAGTGCATAAATTCAGCTCGAAGATACGGAACTTGTCAACTTCAGAGTGTGTCTGCAGCAGGTGGAAGTGACACAGCACTGACTTCAGCGCACTTCTGTCACAACAATGATGGAACTTGGGCTCAGCTCCACAAACAGTTTTAAAACACTGTTTATAACAGATTTGTTCATAAGTAATCTCCTCCACAATGGCAACCCAAAAGAGTAGGATCTTAAAATGGAAATGCTTAAGCAATTCTAGAAGAAAACTGGTGTAGGATTCTTATACTGCGTCATGTTTCAGAGGGCAAAGGCAGCCATATTAACTTTGGGATCAAGGATTTTAAGTCTTCAGTTGGAAAGATAAATGATATTAATTAGTTACAAAGCACCTCTGTACCAGTGAAGTATACCATAAAGAAGAGGTAAATTATATATCCTTTTGTTGCAGGTTATATGTGGTCTTTTAAAACTGATTCTTTACAATGGTTACTGACATATTGTATCTGAAGTAAAAGGCAGCATTTTCAAGGATAACTGAGTGCAGAGAATCCAGCCTTTACCAGATTTCAATAATTAATAAAGTTCCCCGATTTTTCTTAAAGAAAATAATCAGAAGTTATTATTTTTATTTTCTTTTTAAGACAGTGAAGCCAAAATCATTGTATAAAGCACAAAAGTTAGGACATATCCTAATTTAGAAAATGAGAATTTTTCAATAGCTTTTCTTCCTCAGTCTGGCTTTCCTCTAGATCTTCTTTTTCTCACTTAATAAAATACCTCCCCCAATTGATCCTCCTGGACCAAACCCATGTTTGTATTATACATTATTAAAGTAGTGTCAGACTCATGATATAGTATGCCTGGGGCTTTGCAGCAGCATTATTTTACTTGATGTTCCTTAAAAAATACTCAAGGGATTCTAAGGCAGTATTAGCTCCTTTTACAATGCACTACATAACCTGTTTAGTTGTATGGTATTAGATTACAGAACAAAATCAAAGGTGGTGATGCTTCCTACTGTCTACTTTAGAGTTACGTTTTGTAGGCAGGCTTTTCCGTCCCCACAAGAAAGGCCTAATATTTGAGATATGGTATACATTTATTTATATTAAATTTACCAGTGGGGAAGTCCCACAGATGATGGCTAAAGAGAATAGCTTACTGTTTCCCTGTGAGAGTGGGTACCAAACCTGAAAGTTTCTGAATTACTCATGTACCTGCAGCCTCAACCTACTCCTGCTGCAACCTGCTCAAAGGGCAACATATACTAATTTTTAAATTAAATCCTGTCTCTCTTCTCAAGGATTGAAGGTAAAATATTCCCGATGTTTCTGTGTGACAGAAAAGTTTTCAGCTAGAGAGTAAGATGATACAAGAAAAGGGCATGTATTTAAATTGCAAAGATTAAATGGTGAATAAAAATGATACCACACCAGTCTGCGGGGTGATGGGTGGGTACCGTGTGCCCGGTGAGAGGACAGAGCTGTGAAAGGATTGCCTTTTTGACTCGCTCTGTTTGCTGCAGGAGCCAGGAGGAACTCTCCCAGGGGGAAAGTAGGTCCCCTCACAAAAACAACCAAACATGCTGAAACAGAAACCTGATTTCTACTAACTTTATTCTGCTCTCTAAAGAGAACGAGAAAGACTTAAAGGTAGACACTGTGATACAAATAAACTGAAGGGCTTCAGGAAGGAGCAGGGGGAAGGTTGGTAGGTAGCCCTCAGAGGCAGAAAGACAGAATTTTCCCATGAGAAAATGGAAAGCAACTTCTGAGGTAGGGGAAAAGCCCTGAAGCAATATTCAACCAGTTCTGTACGGCTTAGACTTGCTGAATCAAGTGAAGGCAGAGTCCCACCATGCAACAATATTCTGTCCAGGCTGTTGTGCAGTCCTTTTGTTCCAAGGTTACACTCTAACAATCCATATTTTCAGCTCAAAAGCTGCTGTGTGCTAGTTGGTATTCAAGTATGGAAAATCAAGGGCCTTTTGGTGACTCATGTCATATTCAATTTTCAGTAAATTTCAATACTGTGACTTACTAGAGATGTTTCATGTTAGGAAGACATCGCTGAAATTCATGGTTTACTTGTACTCAGTTGGCGCTGAAAGGTGCAAAACTTAAAATTATGCTAAACTTTCATGTTTGACTGCTGTCTTCATCCCTGTGTCAACCAGGGGTGAGCTGAGGAATAATGGAATATTTCCCGTGAACAAGCTACTCCTTTGAATAGCAGATGTTAGGTGCTGATTTCATATCAGACACGGAGTTTTCATCTGTCTGCTAATACTGCTAGTACTGGAAGTCAGTATAAGCAGTGATTTTTGGACTTGAGATTCCAGATCTTCTCACCTGGGAACTGAGCAGAATCAGCCTAATTACTTATCATTTGCAACAATAGTTACACAATTGGATGCTTTTCACCACTACACTTATCTGGAGCAGACTAATGTAACTGTGTCAGTTAACCTTTCCTTCTCTCCTCACACTGAAAGTTTAGCAACCCAGATTATTACATAAAAGAGTTATAATCACTTTATCAGAATATTAGGTATGATGGCCTAGGGCAAAATTTGTTAAATCACTGAATATGTCTACCATCTGATTTTTTCTGCAACAGTGTATTCTGTTCTATAATAAAACAATAAATAAAACTAGGTGGGCTTAGTTGGAGTGTTTATCAATTCTCTGCTCAGGACAGATAAACATTTTATTGAGCATATGAAGACTCATTACACCCACACATAATGAAAAAAAACTCAGGCATCGTAGAACATTACAGTTAGCACATTTTTCTGAAAGGGGAATAGATGGATGACTGGTACCTTGTTGTACATTTCTCTCTTCACACCTTCTTCCCCAAGTCAGATTTACAGTAATATCCATTCTGTAATAAATTTATAGTAATAGAGACATATAATCCAGTGGAAGACTGTGTATTGCTGTATTCTTCCCTAGTGTCATATGTTGAGGATTGCTACAAAAGAGCACTAAGAAGAGTGGTAGGTAAGCAAATATAAGATTGTGTTTTGTTTTAACTCTTTTGTCTCCTTTGGGAGTGTTGCATTCTTGAAAATCAGAAACTCCAATCCCTCTCTCTTTTCCTGTAACAATACCCACAGTTCAGAGAAAACTTGAAGTCCACTAGGACAGGCTCAAATATTTAATCTCAGTTTATTTTTCTCGATTTTGGCACCTCAGCAAGGTATGTCACATTATATTTAAAATACAATTTATTTTCTAGCTATGCCTTTTAAAAATGACAAAGCACTTTACCAATAACTTTTGAAGTGAAGCTGCAAAAAGAATTTCTGCATTTTTTTAGCATTAAGATGATATTTCATCTGTGTAGGTTTGTTTGTCTGGGTGGGAGGGACGTTTTTGTTCAGATCACCTGAGTACAAAATAAATACGTTCTGTATAATGAACAACATGAAAATTGTTATTCCTGCATCATTAACAGATTTCTTGTTTAGACATCAAAAGTGCCTTTTCTAAAATGTGAGCTCTTGTTCACATTACATTTATTCATCTGAAATGCTTGTCTTTAAAAATACACATAGGAGCCAAAGGCAAGTTTTAGAACTGTATGTTTTGAAACATTGATCTAAGCATTGTTAGTGGAAGTGTTATCTAAATCTTGTAGAAGTAATGAAAATTTCTTCAGGTGTTAAACTGCAGAATCTTCTGTCACTTTGATATCAGGGTTAGACAACAAAGTGGATTGCCTTGTCCATCAAAATATAGTAGGAGAAAATTTCACTGACTACCCAGGTAAGAGTCACAAATATACAGGAAAGCTGATGTGGAATTTATCAAATTTAAAAATAGCTGCTTACCAAAAACCCACAAAAACCTAACAAAAAAATCCACAAACCACTAAAGAAAAAGAAAAAACACACAAACCAACCAAACAAGAAAAACAGGAAAAAAGCTGGTTAAAGACAATTTTAAGTTTGCATAAATTTATTTGAGAATAATTTTAGAATTTTATAATATTTTTTTATAAATGAAAGAATAATGACTTTATCTAAAAAGCCACATTTATATTTATTTGATTTAATTTCCAATCACTGCCTAGACTGAGAAGAAAATAACCATATATGTTCACAGGGAGTCTAAAACAAATGTAGAAAATGTGTGGTTACAAACAGAGTTGCCTTAAGCTTTGTTCTAGAAGGTTAATCATTATCTTGAGCTTTAAGCTGAGCTATGAGAAAAATAAAAAATAGTTAGGTTGTACAGTTTTGTTTAGTAGAATGATTTCCTTAAAGGCAACACATTATTTGGCTTGAATTATTGGGTGTAAGAGTGGCCAGATGGAAAATTCAATTTACATTTTATTTTAACTGATGTATCAACTATTCCATTGACAAAGAGAGGTGTTACTTTGGTGAGTGAGAAAAATGTTATTTTCTGCTTATAGTTGCATTAAAATGTTACAGTATGTTAGAAGTTTTCACTCAAAGCCTTTTCATCACTATTGCTGTTTCCCAGACTCCTCCATTTTTAGCTGTTCCAAGAAGTGAGAGCTCTAGTAGGTGTTACTATGGCTGACATTTTGCTGCCATTTCCTCCATCCTTCCCCATATATTGATGAATGCACAGTGTATTAAAAGGGCTGCATATGTTGAGGACTTTTGTCAACCCACTTCAGGGTCTTAATTGGTTTGCTGAGGCAGTACTGATATTTCCTCAGTTTTCTTCAGTGAAACTGACAGCTTAAGAGTACAAGAGTTCAATCCCTGGCTTCCCAAATCTCTCACCCTCATTAAATCACCCCCTTTTTTTCCAGAGAACAAGTTAAATATCCAAAGCCTGTGTTGATCTTCAAAGCTAAAGAGGAACTGTACTCTGCTGTTTGAGAAAGATAGAAAAGCAGCAATTAAGCTGTGCTCTGATTCACTTGAAACCCACACCCTAGCCCCCCGCTCCTCATTCCTCTTCTGCCTTGCTTACATTTTCCAAAGGCAAAACCCCAATGGATTCACTGGCCACCAAGAAGAGCTAACATTTTCCATGGCCTTACGCTTGTCTCATAAATCTGGGACTATAGAACTGTGGCATTGTTTCTTTTTCTAGCTGATATCACAGAAACACAGAATAGTTTGTGTTGGAGGGGACCTTAAAAATTCATCTGGTCCAATCCTCCTGCCATGGGCAGGGACTTCTTCAACTGGATTGGGTTGCTCAGAGCCACATGAACTCTGACCTTGAATGTTTTCAGGAACTGGGCATTTCTCATTTATTTGAGCAACCTATTCCAGTGTTCCATCAACCTCAATGCAAAAATATTTCTTCCTTATATCTAGCCTGAATCAACCCTCTCTTAGTTTAAAACCATTATCCTTTGTCCTATTGCAACAGGCCCTAACAAATAGACAGGCCTTTCTATACAGACACTTGTGGAAGGTCTTGGTGTTCTTCTATGAAAAAAGTGATTTTGGAGATGCCACATGTTCCCTGAACAGGTTTTGATGGTTGCAGATTATGACATGTCTATAATCTGAGATCTATTTTCTTTTTCCACAGGTTTCCCCCCAGTCACTATTCTTTAGAACCTTCTAAATAAACATCCATGGGCCTGAAATGATGAAACAGGTCAGCGGATTTACATTAGATAATTTTGTAATGAGGAAAAATAAAGGGGCAAGATTTAGAAAGCATAAGAGTTGGAAAAACAACCTACTCTTTTCAATGGTATTTCATGTGCTGGTATTGAAAACTTTAGCACTCCTCTGTTTCTGGCAAGAAGGCTTATATACATTCAGTGACACGGCAAACTCTTTGTTCTCCTTTAAAAATCTGGCAAAGAATAAGAATTCTTTTAAACTACAAAATGTCTTATGGGAGGCTGTTTAATTTTCTTATATTAAAAAAAACCTACATTGCCATGAAGTATTAGAAGAGCAGTATTTGAACTGGAGACTTGTTTGTATTTTATGACATAATTGTTTGATTTCCTATGTTATTTTATTAATGATATTTTTTCCGGCGTTCTAACTTTTAAATTTTATGTGAAATGTATGTTTTATTTTGAGCAAATAAGAGTACTTTTGAAAGTCATTAAAAAAAAAATAAATCTCCACTCTCACTGATGGATATTGATAATCCTGGCATGGTCAAACAGAAATTTTGGAAGCACCAGCCACAAGCTTGGCTATTTTTTTTTTTTTTTCTTCCCTTCCACAGGGTTTAAATGAAGCTGAAAGCTGTGAGGAACACATCAAATATAGAGAAGGTTTCTGCAAAAGAGGACCTTTGAAGGGGCATCTGGGAGTTAAACTGCAGCCCCATAGGGCTAAAACTACATCTGATTACAGTTAAATAAATGCCATAGAGCAGGGAAAAAAGAAATTAGAAAGAATGTTTTGTATTACTTGCAGTTCATTCCATTTCTCCCCTTAGGCAAACAAACCATTATCTTTGGTGATGGCAAAGTCTTTGACATTATATGAAACTTTCAAATTTTACTCTAAGCCCAAGAATAACATTACTTGAAGATGTGGGAGAAAGAAATAAGAAATTGATAAAAGAAATGTTCAACTTTTAATTAAGATTAGCTGTGAACAGACAGATTAATGATTTATATTATTTTCCTCTCAATATCAGAAATCCTCTATCCAACCCCTTGATTCAGTAAAAAGTAGTTTACCATGCAGAGAAAATTCTATGTTTTCCTGCATTTCCATAGCTAATCTTTTATTATCCTATAGGCAGCTTTTACAGCCCAGAGCATTAAATTTTATCTACTGAGGAAGTTTTAAATGGGCATCGATAATGGGCACTCTCCCTCCCTCCTTCCCTTTTTCTCCTCGTAGTCAGAAAACACAGTGAGCAGCTAAACTATGTCTAAACAGCCCAAAATAAATTCAGTTACATTTCTCCAAGCTGCATACTTTGTTACAGTTCAAAATATGATATTAATATGACAATCCTGTAATTCTGGTTTGCATTTTTTTGAATTTCGGACACTTTGCTCTGGCTCCTCATAGGCATCTCCAAAATGCTTTCATCTAATTTTTCTTCTATTTCATATTCTTATTTTGGGACATTTGTGATTTCCATTCCACATGTTGTAATGAATTATTCTGTTCAATAATCAAGATGTTCCAAGTGACAAACGGGGTGCTAGTGCACTGTTATACAACAGAGAGTGATCTTGCAGGCTACATGTATCCAGAATGGCCTACCTTCACTACTGTGACGTGCTGAGAACATTTGTAAGTGAATCCATGTTGTTCACTTCCCATTTCCCTCAGTATTTGTTCATGGAAAGTTATTGCACCTAATCTGTATTGCTGGGGTTGTAGCCCAGTAAGATTACTGGAATATTGCTGTGTGTTCCAGGCCCAAAGAGACGAAACCTCCTTCTAAGAAGAGTCACAGCATCTTGCAGTTGGTACCATATGGTTCAATTGACTGAATGAAAGAATTTAATTCCAACAAAGAAGGGGGCAGAATCTGAGTTAACTATAATCATTCCAGTTATAAAAATAAAGAGGTGGTTTAATGATCAGTAGCATTAAATCCCAACAAACAAAACTGTTTGGAATGAGGAAATGAGGAACCAAAATGAAAACATTGTTCTGTTACCAGGAGTAGCAGAACTGCTATAAACAACGGTCAAAGATAACTCATCCTGGTAACTGCATGTATTTATGGTCTTTATCTGCTTTGCTCTCCCTCACATAAAACAAAACCAAAAAAACAAAACCAAAAAACCCCGCATTGATTAAAGAAAAACAGATAAACAAAATAGGAATTATCTAAGTTTTGAATTACCTTCCATATATATGACCAATCAGATTTTTATTTTCCTCATTGCACCCTCATTGGTCTTAAAATTGTGACACTGTTATATAGGAATTAGTTACTTGTCTTCTCTGTTTATGTACCTTTCTTTGTATATAAATTAGTGAATTAGAAGAGCAGGAACCAATAATCCTGTGGATTGGTGTCTTGATTAGGATGCCAAATCATTAAGCCAGTTTAGAGATCTGGGATAATAATGGCAAAGTCTGTTATTTTCTACCCTACAGATCATCAGAACATGGATGAAATTAGAAGTTTAAGATCTTAAAGATTACTTTGTTTTATGAGAGCATCATATTGGAGAGAGCAGTTTCAGTGTCCTAAAGCTGCCTTTTTGCATCTAGGATATTTTTAATTTGGGAATCAGCAGGTTAGGGCACTATCAGTTTTGTTTCTGACCTACCCATATCTTCTCTTTACAAGCTTTTCAAATGACAGTCTAG